GGGGAATTTCAATGTGTTCTCCACAGGATAACCGGTTTAACAAAAGATTACATAAAAAGCAGTACAAACAAGCATAGGATTCAAGGTCTATACCAAGAAAAAAATAGTTCTTTCATTTTACAAATTTCTTTCTTTCAAATCTATTCCTCATGCTCTCTTTTAGATCCCAACTTTCACGAAAGGGAGGAGACATAAAAATATATGTCTGTCTAGATGTCAGTGAGGAAGTCTGTCAGTCTATCTGTCTGTCAATAAAACTATACATGTAGCATTGGTCATATCTTATGACTAGAAGAGATAGGACTTTCATATAACACATGTGTATTTTCTGCGACAAGATCTATCTACATACACCACAAGTTTTTATCCTGTGATCTTTATCGTGAAGTTTGACCTTCGTTAAAAAAATTATGCATATCTGTCAATTGGCCATAACTTTTAAACGAGAAGAGATAGGGCTTTCATTTTAAATATAAGTATTACCTTTGACAAGACCTTTAAAAAATGATTTTTGACCTCGTAACGTTAACCCTTAACCTTTAAGTTGACTTTCTTTTTAAAACCTTAACCATGGTTATCAATTTTGAATGGGAAGAAATAGGGCTTTTTCATTTCGTGACAAGTCCTTTCTAAATACACTATGGATTTGACTCCGTGACCCTGAACCCGCTTTTTTAAACTACACTAGCTTTCTAATAATGTTTGAAAATGTCGGGTTTTTATATTTTATATGTGCATTACTATGACAATACATGTATATATGTACCAGAGCATGCTTTGATTTCTGATCCCAAGACCATGACATTCATTGTTTACCTAACTTTTAAAAACAGCCCACTGTTTTGATTACCTTTGAATCACATATGAAATGGTGTTCAATAATAATGACATCTCATCCACAAGGACGCACAAAGAGAAAGGATCACGATTCTTTGAATTTGCTTGTTGAACTTCATTTGAACTGAACTGGTTTGCTTCACATTAACTTTTACATGTTTCTGAAACAATGTACGTAAGTGCAAATTGCCAATCGCTGTCTCAGTTGGAGTAACTTTCTGTATTATGATACGTCGCATGGCGCTTTTATTAGCACTTTGACACGTGGAGAAGTAAACGATGGGGGAAAAATGGCAACAATTAAATTCTACATTTTTCAGGTAGATAAAAAAAAATCACAAGGGGAATGGTAAAGAACATCATCGTCAAACTTTCTTATGTAAGCGTTTTGGCATTGGAGCTGCTTTTTAAAGTTTTTTTTACGGTTCTTTAATTTCATAATTAAAAGTTGATTAAATATTTTTGCGCTAGGATTATACACATGAACTAGTAAATTTAGTGAAGTTCATTATTTTGTAGGGAAATAAATTTCATTTGATTACAAAACCAATAATTGACCGTGACGGTAACTGAGAAACAAATTAAAATAAAAAAAATCGTAAAATATTTAAACTGTCAAGCATGAAAAATCAAAATATTTTAAAAGAAAAGCAAATGAAAATAAAATGAAACTAATAAAGCTAAGCATCCGAAGTGAGTCATATGCTTATAATCCTTTCGATAGAATTTTTGGAAATAACGAACAGTATTCGAGATTAGAATCCATTAAACATCAGAAAACTAGAGCAGAGCAAAGTTGCACATAATAAACATCAGAGGTGGGATCAGGTACCACGTAGGAGTAAACATCACCTGCCGACTGGTCACACCCGCCGTGCGCTCCTTGTCATGATCGGGAAATAATGGGGGAAATCTGTAGAAAACAGCATTTTATATAGTGATAAATTGCATTTGCTGACAAGGTCATTGTTACGAAATGACGACTAAAACCGAGACTGCTGATATTCTTGCTTCATCAACTTGGCTTTTAATTACTTACCTTGTTTTAGAAAATGTTTATACACAGAACATGGTCGTTCGTATTGAATCAACAGAGAAATATAAACGCCGTATGCAGGTTAAGAAGGTACGTGTATATATCCGCATAAGTAAGGGAAGTTGAAAAGTTAAAGTTTTTACGTTATCGTTTCCTTTTCTTGTGAAAGATCCAAATATGAATAATATGTGTCAGACTTTGTGGTATCTTTAATATTATAATAAAAGCTCACCGGGATATATCGTGTCGACGTAAGAATTTAACGAATACACTCCTGCATTTGGAAGGTACATTGTATTCAGCTTCAAGTTGATACTTAGAAGTTTATTTTGAAAATGGTATGTGCCTTTTATGAACACTTTTTACGTTAAAAACGTTAGTCATCTTTTAAAGAATATTATTAAACTGTATCTGTACCATTGGCTTTTGAATGAAATTTGTGAAATGGATATCATGTATACATCTTCCTGTTCTAAGTTTAGTGCACATATATTCCTGAAGCCATCAATAAGTCACTATGTACGTGTGGATTCTTACTCACAACAGCTTTATAGTCAGTTAACTCACTTGTGCAAAACAAAGATATGTTACCCTACCCCTTCCGATATCCAACCTAGAGAGAATTTTTTAAAAAGTAGCCCTTGCCAGCAAAAAATGGTGATACTATTTTTACAAAGGGTAGTGGGAAGGAAAAATCAATTTCTATAGCAAATACACATAAAGGTAAGGTCGCCATATCTAAAAGGAATTCGTAATGAAAAAAAAAAACACTTTGTTAATAGAGAAAATATACCTGTATTTCGAATGTTGTTTATCTGCAGTTGTCTTTCTTTTCTCTCGTTTTCAATTATTTTGTTTATATTAGGGATTTCTTCCTTGAAAATTCGATTTCAAATCTTTGATTTTCTGTTTTAAAAATGAAATTTCCTGTCTTGATTCCGTAACATCCCAGTAAACATGACCAAGTCTTAATTCGAAAATGTAAGCAGCACCACCGAGAAAGGCCACAATCAGTCCCGTCAGAAAATGTTTAATGGTTCCCACCATTGCGAAATTCATCAACCAATCGGAGAGTACATTTACCTTTCTAATTATTTCATCCTTAAGCTGTAATTTGTAAACTTCCCAATATAAGAGCTAGAAATCAAGATCTAATACGATGCATAACATGTAACCAAACGTTTAAATGTCACGATCTATTTTCTAACGAAACTGTATACATTGTACCACTGTCGATTGTTTAGTTAGGTGCAAGATATAAAAAGGTAACCCCAACAACGTTTACAAGAGCAGCCATGAATTCAGTTGATAATGGCCCTGACAGATAAAATAGGTATGGTATTACGTTAAAACAAAATGTGTAGTCAAGGATTTCATGAACTTTTCGAAATACATGGATTTACTTTGATGCATAGGAAATACATGCATTAACTATTTTCTCTTTGAAAATACATATAATGTATTCGTTGTATTTCTAACTTTTTTAATGTATTCACTGATTGTGTGTTTGATGCGATGATTATAAATGAGAAGGATATGCAGTTTGGCAACACTGATGCCCCAATGACGAGCATTGAAAATTTTCTAAATGCAAGTCAAACTTCCCAAGGCCAAGTGCAAATGTCAAATTGTTGGTATCCAAAGGAATGTCGTAATAATGAATGCATCAGTGAAATCTAAAAGACCAAGTAATAATTGTTCAAAAATTGTGGTATAGGTTAATTTTTAAAGAGGGTCAAACTCTAAGGTCAAGTGGAGAAGAAAAAATATAATATACTCAGTGAAATGTCAAAATGAATATACTTTTGAAGTATGAAATTTTTGGCACAAACTGTTCAACGGTTAAGATTAAATGTTTGAAATTTTAGTTAAAGTGGAATCTCTCTTGGAAATCTTGTTTCATTGGTGAAGGTTTGTGGCTTTTACTTACGATCATTTCTAATACTTTACCAAATTATTCATGATTAGACTTTGTAAATCAAAAGGAAGGGGAGGAACAATGCATTTTTTTTCAAAGGACTTTTATAATAGTAAAATTTTATTTTAATTTTTTTAAAGACATGAACTATCTTCATATTCTAACGAAGAAAAAATACCTTCCTGTTAAAATAAAGAGAAATATGTAATTCTCTATACTTTCCATAACCTTTTGTCATAAATATTCACCTTTCCGCACTAAGACAAATGCAATAAATCTTTGACGAACACATTGAATATAAAAGTATTTTAGAGAGTCAAGTACACACTGATTATCTTTTTTAATTTTAAAATATAAAAATAAATCATGTCCACCTTTGATATGAAGGATAAGGAGATAACGAACAGTATTCAATCTCAAGTCCATTAAACAATATACAAAATCAGAGCAGAGCAAACACGGACCTCTGAAACAACAGAGGTGGGATCAGGTGCCATGGAGGAGTGAGCATTCCCTGCCTACCGGTCACACCCGCCGTGTGCTCGTTGTCATGATCAGGAAATAACGGAAAAATCCGTCGTCAATTCAGTGTATAAATAATGAACTAACAAGTGGTATGAAAAACGTCAGTCAGCATTTGACTCAATGATAAATTGTATTTTCTGACAAGGTCATTGTATCGCCCATAGAACTTACGAAATGATGACTTTAAACGAGACTGCTGATACTCTTTTCTCATCAACTTGTTTGTCAATAATTTACCTCGTTTAAGAAATTGTTCGTACGTAGAGCATGCTCTTGCGTATCGAATCAATTGAGATATATATACATGTACTCCGTATGCAGGTGATGAAGGTATATTGCTGCATAAGTAAGGGAAGTTGACAAAAGAAAAATAAATTCTATTTTCAACTACACAAGATTTATGTAGATTCTTCATGTAATTAAGGTGGGAATGATAATAAATTTCGATGCAAATTCTTGTTCTATGTCTTATCACGAGAACTAGTTTGTACGTAAAATGATTTATTCATTGATCCTGTTATTTATTATGTTATTTGTCCTTTGATGTAATTGTTTATCCGTTAGAGTGCTCGCTCTGTCCTCGGAAGCTTGTGAGTTCGAGTCCAATCCCTAACTGATCAAAGTTGTTAAAAATAGATAGCAAATATTCCTTTGCCAAAGGCCCGCCGATTTGAAGTGATAGGTGTTGGCCCTTCGGCTAAGATCTTAAAAACCGAGGCCCTGCGTCACAGCAGGCGTTGTCATCAGTACCATAAATATCATATCACTGGCAGACGATGACCTCTCTATATGCATGAAAATTCTCCAATGAATTGCAAAAAAAATTCAATTGATTAGTCCTCCCTCTTAATTTAAGTTTTATTTAATTATTTTTTGAAAAAGAATTTACTTAAGATACATGTATGCTTTGTTTAAATTATCAGTCTCTAGTTCTGAAGCATACTACATATTTGTTATTGCATCTTTAACAATATTAGTTGAAATCTCTTTTTGTATATGAAGTTCAAGAATACAAACATTTTTAAAATTCTAAAGAAGAAAATGCCACTAACGTAATTAAGTAATACTTTACAGTTGAAGACATCAGTCGAAGATTAAAAATAATGAAAACTTGTATAATTATTTTGAACACACAACACATGTAAGTGGTTTATCAGCAATATATGGAGAACACCTCAAAGACCCGCATTTGGAAACTACGGGGTAGATAAGCATTCCGTTATGATTTTGAAAACCACCCGGGACTGTTTGTACATTTTCATCCACACAGATATACTCAGTAGCAGCAGGGTAATCGTGATATCCCGCTCCTAAGTATCCCTTATACTGCAGTGTCCATCCGTCATAACAAGACGTCCTCCCCGGAATCATAATAGAGCTAGTACCTGCCTTTATCTGACAGATACAACAAGGGACGTCTTGGTCAAGTGCATTTTCTCCGAAAAAATTGCTCTCATATTCAGAGCCATAAACATACGCTAAAGGGTGAGCTGCTGTTCGACTTCCCCACTGTGGATCTTCAGGAAGACAAATAACGTTTGAAGCAGCACCTTTATGCGAATGAGAAGATCCAGCAGCATAACCTGTTGAAAAAAATAAAGATTTACAGTTTCTAACTAATTTAAGAAAATTTAGACCTGCAGTTTTTCACCAGATTTCCCACATTGTTATACTTGATGTGGTCTCATTTATCCCTCAGGGGTGATGATTCTAACAAATAAAATCAACAATACCTCAGGAATATATCCACAGATGCTACAACTTTTCAAGCAGAATGGATCTTTAAAAGATGATTTTCTTAATTTATTCGAATTCTAAAAAAAAAGGCTAGCCTTTTTAGGTCTCCGACCGATACCAAAAAATATTTCAACATTAGTTTTAATTTTTCTTGAGAAGAGGATTTTGAAAATTACAATGTTAACTTTTAAACCTCTATTCGGATCGCATCCCACATCCGGGGTTATGATTCAGAAATATTTCTAAAAAAATGTATCATGAGGAACGCCATACCTTTATAGACTATGGAAGAGACCTCAGGACAATCAGTTCTTCCCCATCTGGTATACACTGGTCCTGAAAATGTGAATATCTAAAAACGTAGTCAAATGAAGGTACATACAAACTATGGACACATGTACATAGTTAGTTTTCTTTAAACCAGCTATTAAAAAAACAAATTAATATTGCACGATATATTTTAGAATAAATGATATGTAAAAATGCTTATAAATAATCGAGTTACATCAAGCAAAAATGAATTTTTCGAAACATGCAAATTTACCAAATTGGTTTTTGACGTTTTTTGAGATAGCTAGACTTAATCCTTTTGATTTTTTTTTTTACCTTTTTTATAATGAATCTACTGAATTGAAACTCTTGCTATGCTTACAAGCATTGTAATGTCATTTTTCAACACATTTTTTTGCTTCTTTACAAATTAATTGTACTAGATGTATTGTATGTTATGTCAATTTATTAATCTACAATTTTTAGCAGCTATACCATTAGTTGTGTCTCTACATTGATGGTTAATGATAAGGTTTTCGCAGGAAAAATATCAGCAACACTCACGGGGGTTATCTGTTAAAAGTCGTACACAAAGCATTGTCATGCTATGAAATTACTGGGCGCAATAAGCTAAAAATTTCAGCAAATGGTTATTTATCATATCTAAGCGCACCGTATTTCTTTGATAATATAAAGACAAAAATAAAGATTTTATTATACTTGAATGATCACATTGTACGGTTATACGTTGCAAGAAGAAAAGAACTCATTAAAGAGAAAACGAGTATTATTTCGAAATAAAAAATAAAATATATTATATTGAAAACTATTCTACTTTTAACCCGCTTTGTATTGTGTCGTCTTTTTTGAAAAGTTATAAGAATATGCTAAATTTGTGGAAGTTTCCCGGGCATTTAAAATGAACAAGTAACTAGGAAGGATTGTTTATGGATAATATTATGTTCATGACCCTTTTGACAGCATATGAAGAAAACCATTCATAAACTATCGAAAAGCAAATCAATTAATATATTTTTGGAAAAAATTATCAGTTAATCCCTCAATAGATTATTCGGACATACAGATATATGCTTGGCCATTTTTTGTTCTCTCACATCCATGAAAAGTATGTTTTTTGCGTTGCTTTATCGCATGAGAACTTTTCATCAGAAAACACAAATGGAAGATGTCAAGTCTTTGAAGAGTTAGTGTAGCTTTATTATCATTTACTTTTGTCGCTTCGGGAAACTCTATTATTTAATACGTTCTATTTTCATTATTGAAGAGTTATAGTTCTTAGTGCGCTCTTTTGTGAAAAAGTCGGCGAATGTACAAATCTCGTGGGATTTCTGGGACAAACATAAGCTACGCACGTAAACAACACGTTGAATGTCGATAAACAAATCCTAACAAAAAGCATATGAAATATTTAATTGTCGTGGACTTTATTTGAATCAAGAAGGAGATGACAAGGGTATTAATTTACATCTAATGGTGATCGTACGAATCTATTTATCGTAATGGAACAAAAAAGTCAATACACATACCTCGAATACACATACCTCGGAATTGTCGTATTTTTATTAATGGGCGATAAAGTTAGGGTTTTTGCTCTTTTACATATGTCTTTTAGTGCTAATCTATTTTCTAGTTCGGATGATAAATGCACTTCACATTTAAAATTGGATTAATACTGGCATGTTTTGTATCAACCGCAATGCCATGCTGGTCAAGTCAAACGACCAAACGCGCCTCTAATTCCGAAGAGTTCAGAAGAATACAACATATTGATTTCATTCAGGGTTTGGATTGCTTTATTTTAAAATTAAAATACGTGTACTAATTGTCTCAATTATTTCATTAAGGCAAAACAAAAAAAATGGTGTTTCATTTTCTCCATCTTCTGTCTGAAAAATCAGAATTCATACATTCAAATTTATAATGACTGTAACAGGTAATAAACAAAAGAAATTTGATCTTTTATTTACTTTTAATTAAAATGGTGTTTTTCAAAGACTCTTTACAAAAATAGGGCACATTTCGGTAATCCTTCTACTGAACAAGGATCACTGTATTTGATATTAAAGATGTTTTGAAATGTCCAGTTACTTACCTGCCAAATTCGTTTTTTCTACTTTCGTTTCTATCTCTCTTAAACTCTTATAAAGTTCATTTATTTTAACTTCGAAAATATAAGCTGCTCCAAATATGAATGCAATAACTAACCCAGCAACACATTGTTTGATTGTTGTGTCCATTTCGAGGCTGTATAATTTTTTAACCGTAGAACACATATAATTATACAACCAAATTTAGTGGTGCAACAGATAACAAATGCTTGACAACACTTTAAAAGCCCATCTATGGCACACCATGGGTGCAAATTAGCATATCATTTTAAATACACGCAGTATAATGATACAGTTTTCAAACGTTTTTGAACGATTTTTAAAGGTTGTACATATGAACTATTTATATAATTGATGCTGATCTGCAATAAAATAAAAAAAAAACATAGTTTCATGTTTTATCCATAGAAATTAAAATACATGTAAGGGGTGTTAAGAAAGTTCGTTCCATGATAAAATATTTTTTTTTTTAAATTTTAAAGTACTGCTTAACTGAAGAGATGAATTCACAAGTCTGACAAAATCACAAGAGTTTGCTTTAAATTTATAGCAATTCACTTCTAGCAGGGAGTTATAGGATTTTTCTTCCAAGGGAAAATATTTGTGTTATCTTTATAGCAATCGAATGATAGAAAATAAGAGATGCTGGTCATTTTGTGTGAAAAATAAAGGATAATTTACTTTTATTTCTTCAAGGCTTATCTTACATCAGAGAAGCTGAAAAGCGTAGGTATACAGTCGATATATTACTTTTCAGAAGAATAGTTTTGTCATTTTGAATATTTTCACCGAATTGATAATTTTTGCATAGTATTTGAAAAGATGCCTTGACCCGTGTGCTTAATATATGTCACAAATATGCGTCATCCCTAATTTTCTGTACAGACATCATCTACTTTAATACCTGCCCTCCCCTTATTGATTCAACAAAAGACAGTAAAAACCATAATAGTAGCAAGAATGGACTCTGTAAACGTAAAATGTCACAATATGTAAATAGCTTCTCTTTGATTTTCTTTTTGAAAATAAATGGGAAATAAACCTTCTGAACACCCTTTATAAGTTTTATGGATGATACGCGTTTCGATGAACCCACAGACATGAATAATGGTACGAGTTTTTTTTTTGTTCATATTTTACTCTATCATTAATATATACTTTATACCTTTCTCTTTTTATTATTTTCGCAAATTTGAAATTATGTGAGAAATTTTTTTTTAGGAAAGTGTAAGGAACAAAGCATTTACAGACATTGAAAACATAAGAGGAGGTATCAGGTGTTATGGAGGAGTGAGCATCTTCTGCCGACAAGTCACACCTTCCGTGTGTCCCGATCAATAGGCATGATCGGGAAATAACGAGAAAAATTATGTCATCAATTCAGTGCATAAATTCTGATAATTAATATGAAATCAACACTCACCATTTGACTCAATGAAATATTTTTTGTCAAAGAAATAACCTTAAGAAAGGGAGTTTCATATTTTAAAAAAAAAACCAGTTCGCCATTTCCCTAATTTAACATTTTCTCGAATTTTTAGCAATTTAACAAAGATTTAATAACTTACCCCTTTTTCAATTGCAAGTAAAAACATAAGATGAATTATTGCACTTAAATTTATGCAGGTCAATTGAAAAATAAAAATCCCAACCTTATTTAAAATAAAGATAAGACAATATTTCTGTCATTTTTTTTTTTCATTTTTTTATATTGCACATACTTACTTAGCTTTAACACAAAAAGCAAAAGTTTGAAACTTTTAAAATATGCGAACAATAGAATACAAACACACCCATATTTTTTTTCTATAAAAACTTTGATTGAAAGAGGTATTGACTTGTACAATGGTTATTTAACAAATTCGTAGACTTTTGTCCTAACTTTGTTTTTATTTAATGTCAGACTATATCCAATTTCGGTACTCATATTTTAAAAACATATATAAATTATTTAAGTAAAAAAATGAATATATCTTCATATTTATAAAAAAAATTATCAAAAATTTAGAACAGCAAAAAAAGGGATCAGGGAGCAAGGTCAAAATTAAGTAATTTACTAGGTTTCCCTTTACAGTATCTATAGCCATATCTCTTGTAAATGGAGTTGAAACGAAAAAAAAAAAATACCGGTAAAAATTAAGTCATACTGTATAATTTAAAATGCTTTCATGTAATGTAAAATTCCCTCTGTTTAAAATATATCAGTTTCTGAATACATATGTACTTGATTAAAATAAAACCAGGAAATGTATAAAAAGTAAGCCATGAATATAACTGTATAGAATGGACAATAAAATTTTTGAGTGGTAGCGAGTTTAAATCTGGGGATGGATGGTCTGCAAAGAAAATAGTTATAGTGGAAAAAAAAACATTGTCAATAGAGTTAGGAACGTCAGTAAACGTAATGTACAGTTCACTGTATAATAGAGTGACGATGAGGAACATTGTCTACGTATTTGTTGAATGACCGCTAGGGTTAGACCCCTTATTGTCTTATACGTCTATGACGACAATCTTGGTCAGTGTGAACCGTTTCTATGGTCCGACTGTCCTAATACTCACTCAGAAAACGTATTCTAAAGTAAGAGTGAGTGTGAGACTAATTTCAAGGATCCACTGATTGTCATTAATATAAACCAAGAGTCAATTTTGCTTAAAAATTAATTAAGATATTTATTAAAATAATAAAAACTTAAATAAATGCTAGATACCTAAATCTAACCTCAATTCTTTATTTTTCCCTCATACAATTTGACATTTTAAAAAATGAAAAAGAAAAATAATTCAGAAAAAAAAGAATTGTGATCACATTTACAATCTAGTGAAGTAACCATCCGGAAAAGGTTATTACTATTGACGAGGCCATCCCCTGCACACGTGGCATGGTTGCGCACAAATACAACATCTCTTATCGAGACATGTGTAATAGCAGTGCCGCTAACTGATCCGTCGTCTAAATTTTGGGCCCGCAGAAATGTAGCACCCAAAATATCTTTGTTAATCATTAATTCAGCTGAGTGTTCTGCATTAAACATTCTAATGACCCAGATAAATACATAGATTCCTTCTTGTGGTGCTGTGAAGATCCCGGTGGCACCATCATATCCGTTGCCAACATTAGTGCGCACTTTATCGAAGATGAGTGAATGCATCAAAATTACGCTAGTTATTTATGTTATGTTATATACACGAAAAAATGTTTTGTACATGAACATATAAAAAAAAGTGTTTTTCATACAGGATTTTTAATTTTTTTTTTATTAGAATTTCTTATGAAAAGTCTTCCTATGCTACTTTTAACTCTGATGACTCTTGAACGTTTGACTTTTACCCAATTGTAGAAAGTTTGGGCTTTCGTATTTCCCAGGTATACATGTACCCACTATATGTCGACACAAGTTCTTTCTTTGGGAGACAGCATTTATGATTGTTTAACCATGACGTTAAACTGGAATTCTAGAAATGTTTTGCCATTTGCTGCCCAAGGGGGGCATCTGTGTCTAATAAAAAAATTTATGAATATAAGAATTATGAAAAATAAAGCTATATCATTTGTTAGATTAATTGGATTTTCTTTGGAGAAATCAAAGAAATTGTTTAAAGAACAGTCATCTTGATGCCAGTATTGTCAGTGAAATAAAATAATTCATTGGACTTTTAACATTACTTATACGAAAACACTGGCACTTCAAATTAGGCAAAACAAGTATCTATAATATTCCTTAGAAAGCATAAAATATACATATTTATTTTAATATAAAAGCACTGCATTGTCTAGGTTCGAATTTAATATAAGTAAACACTATAGACCAGTGTCCAAAATATATTACGTATCCAGGCTATTTACACGATTTTGATATTTTGTCCTGGAAGTTTTCAGATATTTAATCAGAACATTTAGTCAATGCCTACTTACAACTTACAAACGTCCTTCCTTTCAGGTCTGCAAATATTCAATAAATATTCACATGTGTCCTGTAAACTATATCCTGTTCATACACACTTTCATATTTGTTTACAGTTGTTTGAATCAAATTTACCTTTTTCGACATACTCTTCTTCTCGTTTTTCCACATTATGCAAACTAGACTCTACATCTTCAACCCGCTTGCTAAGCTTTTCTATGCTGCCTTTTCTGTTAAGAATTATTTGGCTTCAGTAGCTTTATAAAAGTACATCTTACAAAATTCTTCTAACGTGTCTCCTTTCATTTTTAATTCTTTATTTTTCAGTCTAATGATCGATAACTCTTCATCATGTTTCTTTATTTCCTTGTAAATATCACTTAATATCACCTCGAAAACGTAAGCTGCTCCAAACACAAATGCAACAAGTAGTCCTGCGATATATTGTCTAATTGTATCCATTTCAATAGTGAAAATGTTTTCCTGACAGAACCCTGTATGGTATATTATCACTCAACATGTAATTATGTCTCCACACAAAGTTCTGAGTTTAAAACAACTAAACATTGGTCTGCTGTGCACCTTTCCTTGAACAAGGCCTAGTAGAATTTAAAGTCCATGAAAAAAATCTGGGCTGCTTGACATGCTATCTTGATATTATCCCTTCATTACCATTACTTTATTTTGTTCGTCAAATAAAAAATTACGGCCAAATGTACCTGGTTTTTTACACGTTTTGTTTACATGCATGCATAAATTATGAATTACAGGGATTCCCGGCGGTGATTATTTGGTGATGGTGTGGAGTAGATTGGGTTTGAATTAAAAGTTAAATTAAAAGCCTATAATCTTATCCCCCATAAACTCATATTTTTCAGACGTTGCATTTTCAAAAAATCCAACTAATTTCTTGTTAATGAATAGCATAATCTACATTTTCAAATTTATTTGGTAGATACAAATTGTTGTGCTCATTTCTGTAGATTCTCTAATTTTTTTTTTTTTTGGGGGGGGGGGGGGTATGCCTTTACCGTAAAAAAGAAACTACTCAACCCGTTCATTTGAACATAAAATTTTATTTATCGCATATAAACGTACATTTCACATCATATGTTTTATTTTCATTAAGTCGAGTAGTCTCCCGCAGGACGCAGTGGTTAGAGTGTATGCTCTTGGTTCGCAAAGCAAGGAGTCAATCCTAAAGTTTATACAATGCAGTAGATAGCAGGTTATCTTATATAATGTTTACTTAACATTTTGCCTTAATTAGAGGATTGACATTTGTTTTGAAAATGTATACACATCTTTGAAATTGTATTTTATAATTTTATTAAACACGTGTTCATAGTTCGCCTTATTATTGAATTGCGAATGTATAAAAAAAAGTAATGAGAGGGTAAGATGTATATTTTCGACATTTTCTGGTGAATCCACCAACTTTTTTTCATATATTTAGAAAGGAACTTAGTCATTGTAATTGGAAATCTACAAATGTTTCTTTGATTAATGTTTTGGTGGACCCACCAAATTCCCCACTTTAAAAATTAGGAAATGCTGATAATATATCATTCAAGTATTCGGTTTGTTTTTGGTGGGTCCACCAAGTGTTTGTTAGTAAAATTAAGAAAGCCTAGGAATTTGTTTTTTCTACAGATTGGTGAGTCCACCAAACGACTTTCTATATTTAGAGACAGATTTGTTATCTTTGAGTTACATAAAGATTTTCGAATTTTCTGGTGGACCCACCAGGTTTTTGTTCTTGTGTTCATAAATGTATTAAGAAAGTGTCGGTTAGCTATTTTACAAGAAAATTATGTTTGCCTTTAAATTTGATTTTAATGTCTTTGGTGGATCCACCAAACTGCCCACTGTTAGTGAATACAAGGTAATCTTAACAGTGTATCATTTAATCATTCTTGTGAATTTCAATTTGTATTTTTGGTGGATCCACCAAGTATTTGTGAGAAAAATTTATGAATGTGTTGTTAGTTTAATTTTTGCATTTTGGTGAGTGCACCGACTCTGTATAAAGGACGTTTTCTATGTGGTTTCGCAACTCAGTTTCTCTCAATGGGTTGTTTCAGCATTTTAAAACTGGTGGATTCACCAACGTCATATTTAAAATGTTATCGGGAATTTCACCACATTCAATTTTTTGATGGAACCACCAAAATCCCCAGTACTGATATAATGCACTTGCTATATCCATTTTATGTAATCTTAGGCATTTGTCTTCGTATTTTCGGTGGACTCACCAAGTTGTTGTATGGTTAGTTCACTAATTCGTAGAATTAACTAGAGAATTAAGTATTGTAAATTCACTCTTGTTTTCTTGGTGGAACCACCAAGATCAATATTTATTTGAAGATATTGATAATTCAAATTGGTGCATTCACCAATTTTTTACACTTAATATAGAAAACCAATTAATAATTTGTCTGTTTTAACATAAAAATTGGTGTTCTTACCAATTCTCAATGTATTCAATCATGACAATGAATTAAAAAAAATGTTGATTGCTGAAATTGCATTGTCTTCATTTTTCATTTTGAATTCAAAAAAGAGGACACGAATAGAAAATCCTCTTTCTTAATGGAAACAGTTACATGTAATACGAATCCCGATGTGGTATGTTGAAATTGATCCTTTGGACGTAACCGTATAAACCGAGGTACCTTGTTTGCTATAGGTGCTGGCGCGAAAAAGATCCCTCCCTGCTCATGGCCCTGAATGCAAAATATAAGACAAACTTTGAAGCTCTACACCAGCAGGTTGTGGCGTCTCCATATGAGGGAATGATTCTCGAGAGGGACGGTAAACAATATACAATCAATCAATCATAAAGTCGAATATATTCTTCATGATAATTAGGTAATATATGTGTCTGATTCTAATTAAAATTTTAGGCAGCATACAGTTACAAAAGGATATGTAAAGTTCAAAACGGTATCTTTTTATTCTCTTTTCATATGATCAGAAACTTACTGTAAATCTTCTCCATTAAAGTCTCTTTCATTCCGACGCATGCCTTTATCATGCATATCAAAGAATGTTGAAGAATTCTTTTCTTGTTATCTGAAGAATTTGGTGGTTCCCGGACGACAATTGATGCTTTTTATTGACATTGCAACATATATTGTAAGGATAATTTGATTAAATCTGAAAAAGGTGTATTTTGAAAAATGTATTACTAAGATGGTTAACTTAGCGAGAGTTATTTTTCATTCAGAATCCATTCTATGTAATATATTGTATACCCACGTACAAAACAATTTCAATCTAAATTGCAGTTGTTTATTTCTGGATTAAGTTCCACATATATTGAATATTTGTTTTGGGGTCTATGATTCAAACTCATTTTATTTTTTCTTGAATGCAAGGCAATGATTCAGATTTCTAATATATTTTTATCACATAAACAAGCAATAAAATACTCTTCGAGTTAAAAAAAAAAGCAAAACAAATACAACTTATTGCATCATCAACGAAACCAATACTATGATAATTTCGAATGTTGTTACTAATACCTATTTGGTACAAACAACACATGTGAGTGGCTTGTTCTCTATGTAAGGACTGCACCTTAATGCACCACATTTGGCAACTACGGGGTAAATAAGCTTTCCATCTTTATTTTCAAACCCGCCTGGAACTGACTGAATATTTTCATCTACACAGATATATTCCGTAGCAGATGGGTGGTCATGATATCCCGCTCCTAGGTACCCTTTATATTGCAATGTCCATCCGTCATAACAAACTGTTCTACCAGGAATCATTATAGAGTTAATACCAGTCTTAGTCTGACAAACACTGCATGGTACGTCTTGTTGATGTGCGTTTTCTCCAAACATATTGCTCTCGTATTCAGTTCCATAAGCAAAAGCTAGATGTACAGTTGGTGTTCTGTCTCCCCACTGAGGCTCTTCAGGCAGACAGATAAAATTAGAAACGCCACCTTTATGTAAATAATGAGAACCAGCAGCGTATCCTGTTAGATAGATATTAAAAGGAGATATTAAAAGGATTAAATCCTTAAAAGTTAGTAAAATTTAACAAACGTAAGAAATAACAGATTTAAAAAAAAATCTAGAGATAGTTTAATTATTGATTTTCATAGGATGTTTCTAATGATATGTAAAATGGAGACGTAAACATGTGCATGTGACATTGGGATATATTGGAAATTCTTAAGAGGGGGTCATTAAAATAGTATAAAATGAAAATAGTATGATTTACGCCGCTGTTAATTTAAACATAGATTTTTAAAAATCTTGTAATCTTTGAGTTTTCATTCTTTTGTAAAAAAAAAATGTTGTATTTTTCATATGTTGTATTACTTATCACAAGAGGTCCAGGGGCCACATCGCTAACCTGAGCAAATCTGCTAGGAAAAAGCACAAATCAGATCAGAACTGAAAAAGTTCATTGAAAGTGGAGGGGGCTTGGATTTTTATACTACTTTAGATTGTCTTCATAGATGACTTTGCTGTTCTTGATCAAAATATTTTTAAAAACATTTTGTTTCTATATAACTTCAAAATAATTTAAATTGATTCACATTGATTCACTCCCTACCCCAAGTGCCAGGATTTGAATATATTTAAATCTTCAATACATGAGGTTGCTTAAATGTCAATATGACTAAATATAGCTTTTCTGTTCTTGGGATTTCTTCTTTTATTTTTTATGTAAAATTGATCCACCATTGTGGCCTCACTCTACCCTTGGTGGTTATGATAAGAACAAATTAAATTCTACACTACCCGACAATGCTTCAATATAAATTCTAGTATTACTAATCATGGATTGTTGTTGGGAAATTTTTTATATACATTTTAATGTAAAACTTGTTTTCCTCATTGTGGCCCACCCTATCCCTGGGGGTGATGATTTGAACAAACTAGAATCTACACTATTTGAAGATGTAGATGATTCCACATAAATATCATTAAACATGGCTTTGAAATACTTGAGAAGATGATTTTAAAAGTTTTTCCTATTAAGTCCTATGTAGAATTTTGATCAGCCATTTTGTCCCTCCCCCACTCAACCCCCAGGGATCATGATTTGAACACATTTGAATCTACACTACCTGAAGATGATTTCACCTACGTTTCATCTGTTCTGGCTAAGTAGCTCTTGAGAAGAAGATTTTTAAAGAATTTCCCTATATACTCCTATGTAAAACTTCGATCGGCGACTGTGGCCCCGCCCTACCCCCAGGGGTAATGAATTGAACAAACTTGAATATACACTACCTGAGGATGATTCCAAATGAGTTTCATCTTTCCTGGTCGAGAGTTTCTTGAGAAGAAGATTTTTGAAGATCCTCCCTTTATACTCCTATATAAAAATTTGATCGGCCATTGTGGCCCCACCCTACCCCTTGGGATCATGAACCGAACAAATTTGAATCTACACTATCTGGGGATGCTTCCACATGAGTGTCATCTTTCCTGGCCTTGTGGTTTTGAGAAGATTTTTGAAAAATGCTATTAATTTTTCTCTAATTCATAATAATTTCCCCTTTGAGAATGGCTTGGCCTTTCATTTGAACAAACCGAATCCCCTTTACCTAAGGATACTTTATGGCAAGTTTGGTTGAAATTGACCAAGTGGTTCTTGAGAAGACGATGAAAATGTGAAAAGTTTACGACGACGACGACGACAACGACCACAGAAGACAGACGAATTTTGATCAGAAAAGCTCACGTGAGCCTTCGGCTTAGGTGAACTAAAAACAGAACAAAACCGGTAGTTTTGATATTTTGTGATGCTCCCTTATAAGCAACAAGGTAGAATTTTCTGTTTCTTACATATGATGTATAATACAACAAAACTCATTGCATATTATAATTTGAGTAAAAATTATATTGTTGTTTTTGTATAATTTGCTTTGAAGTCAGCATTTCTTCAAATAATCCAATTGAAAATGTACCTTTATATTGATACAGTTCCTTAATCTAAAAAAAAAATTGATTTTGTAGTATGTGTGTGTCAAGAAAATATAAATGATAGTGATCACATTTTGAGGTTTTTATCGCTATCATTTTATCACTAAATGATAGTGAAAACAATTTGAATTTTAAAAAGAATAATCAATCGATCTATTATTCAAAATTATTTGTTTGATTTTATATTTTGGAAAAGTTATTTTCTCACCTTTATAAACTAAGATGGACGTGCCTGGACAGTCTGTTCTTCCCCATCTTACAAAGGTTGGGCCTGGAGAATAAAATTTGTAAAAGGAAAATCGAGAAACCATTCACAGCATGTAAAGCAAACACGCGTTTTTGTTGTACCACACTAGACAAGATTATATTCCTATGATGTGAATTGAGTTGTGTAAGCTTTCAAATAAATAACATTTGGAATAATTTCAAATTAGATCACATGACTGTATCAGCAAACTAGAGAACACTGTTCAAAGTCGAGGATAGTGTGCGAGGGACGAGTCACCCAAAGAACTCTGAGTGTTATATACTAATATCTTTGTCCTGTCCTTCTGTCTTTCTGTCTGTCAGTCTTTTTATCTGTCTAGCTATGAGGTGAGCAAAAACTGTAACTGTAACTTTTCCATAAAAATGTGTCAAGACTTTCATGCTTCACATTTGTATTTCTTGTGACAACTTCTCCCTTTTGGTACCAACTATTGACTATAGTCTTTACAAAAATACTACTAATGATAAAGACTTGAACTTTGGCAATATTTTTTGGAAAATTCAATGTTTATAACTTTTTTAACATGAAACCAATACTAACCAAATTTTGCATAAACATAATGTATTCAATGTTCTTTGAAATTATGAATTTTCAAATATAAACCTTTCATATTAATTATATTGTCATAATTTATATAAAGGCCGATATGCTCTGTCGGCAAATTCTTAATAATTCACGCATATAACTATTATATTATACACTTATTTAATGACTACGAGGTAAACAGTCAAACTGTTGTCCCGAGGTAGTGGGGGAGACCTGGGAAACTGTTGCCCGAGGCCGAAGGCTATTTATTAGGCTATTGTATCAAAATTTAATGTGAGAAAACATGCTTCACAGGACAATCTCGGTCATTTAAAAAAAATTATGGACTCAAACTTCGTAAATTTGCATTATTTTTACTAAATTATATTTAAGAAAAATAATAAGCTTAAAAAAAATCATATGTTGACGTATTACTTTTCGTGGTATAAGCTCTACACTAAAGGGACCCCCCTATTTTCTTTCTTCCAGAAGTAATGTATTCCCACATTTTTCTGTAATACTGTTAATGTTTGAGTGTATACTTGTATTAACAAGGTTGTACATAATTTAAAACAATATAATTATACACACCAAAACCTATTGTCCCTAAAATTTATCTTATTTTACTCAAAAAAAAAAAAAAAAAATAATAATAAATAAATAAATAAAACACACTTGTCTGTAAATTGGAGACGATGAAAATGATACGCGGGTATGTTAAGGAAGCATATAAGTCATTTTTCGGGAAATTCAGACTTTTTAAAGAAAATTTAGTTTGATAATTTACCAAAACCGCTGATAAGCGTAAACTATTATTATCTATTGCATAAAGATAAAAGAGTGTCTAACGCAACCACTTGCAGCACCACCACGGCATCACGTGACTTCTATTAATAGCGAAATTTTCCTTAATAAAAAAGCGAACAGAACAACAATACCCCGGAGTTTAATAATTTGTTTGAGTAAATAATGTAGTTGAAAAACATCTATTTTGTCTTAAAACTGCTGCTAGAATCCCACTGTCCTGTCAGTAAAATAATTATTCCACACATTCGCACGAAACCTTAACCGATGTTTTGAATTTTTTACCTTTGAACAGAGATTTTTCGTAAAACCATGCTTAACTCGGGATTCTAGCAGCACTTTCCAAGTATTTTAGGATGCAAACTTTCCATCTGTACAAATTTTATGTTTTGAAATATACAGCTTATTGTTGTTCTGTTGCATTATTTTTGTCACAATTGACAGAGGAAAGGCCGACCGGGATACGTATATAGCTGACTGTCTTCGACAGAGAGTATTATCGATAAATATAGATTAGCATACCTGTTTTATTAACTGAACTCCATATGAATTTCACAAAATATTCACGATATTTGCTTTTAAACTCCATTTTACGTATCTTTATTCATGCCGTCAGAGCCAAATTCTCTTTACACGACATGATCAATTCCCGATCGATTCCCAAGTTACTTGATGTACACATATGACGTCATCGGTTGTAGATTTTAATCAAAATGACAGAATACATCATAACAAAATAAAAACATTTTATTTTTGTTAATGTTTACACGTTTCTATTTATTTTCTAGAGTTAAATTACATCTCTAAATACCAATTATGAAAACTTGTGTTCTAAAATTGACGTCATCTCGCCTACTATGACGTCATAATGTAGCACTGATTTAGTCAAGGTAGAATATTTTGTATGCTTCCTTATTCCCCCTGCGTAGTAATTCACTGATTCTCAGAAACTGGATGATTTTGCTACAGAAAGTAACGAAGTGTGCTGCACGTGAATCAACTTTTGTCAAATACTTATTCACAAGATAATTTTGCATTGGGATTCGTGGGTAAGCAGGTTGGGGGAGGGGGTATGTATTTTATGCAATAAATATTATTCAAAGTAAATTTTGTAATGTTTGATTAGCAAATCCATAAATTGTCTAAGTCAAATCGTAGTCATTACTTTTTTTTCCGAATTATCACTGTTAGCTTCAACTTGGCCGCCGACAATAGTCGCCTCGATAGTTTGATACATGTTCTGATGTAGCATGTATATGGTCCGTGTTTTCGGCGCGGCGTATAAAACATGCATCATTCACAGAAATATCGTTTTATTACCTAATTAATTCTGTCAACCGAAAGCTGTTCCCAGCCTTCTCTTTTTAATTAATTTATCTTTAAACTGTAGAATACGTGTTTGTTGACGCGACCGACTTCGAGCAAAATCGTAACCATATATTTAACGAGGCCCGATCTACTTGATCTGCGCATACGTTTTAACGCAGAGTCGACTCAGGCACGTCACAATACCCTTGACTGCCGTCACAATTGAACATAATAACGTCACAATTAAAATGACGTCAAATTGCGCTAAACTGTTTCGCAGATCTTGCTTACCTGGTAGCTCTATAGAATATGCATTGAAAGCTGGCATTTCTATATTTTTTTTTTAAATATTTAGATTAATTAACAACTTTGGGACCTAAATAATTTTGAGGGATCATTTTTTTTGGTACAGATTTATTGATTTTATCCTGTTTTATTTCAATTTGTGAGTTTAAAAAAAACAAACGCTACAGCTAAAAGTAAACGATTTTAGTCTTTCTCTTTGAACATGTTGAAGTGTTTATACACAGTCTTTTTATTGCAGACTTAAATAGGCATTGATTATATTCAGTTTTAAAAAATAAAATAAGTCTATAAATCATTTAAATTGAACCCCCCTAAGATTTTATTTTTTCTATATAGTACATGATGTTAGTAAAAATCGCAATTTTGTCGCCTTTACACCCCCCCCCCCCACACACACACACCCTTCTACCCCAATTTTCCACGTAAAACAACGTCGCGTGTTAAGAGAAAAATAAAGCATGGCGAAAAAATAATTTCATAATGTAAGAATTATTTATTTTTTTTAGAAATACAGTATTACAATCGTTTGTTACATAACCCATTGCGAGCTATAAAATATGTAGTTGGATAGAATAAATCTAAATTTTCTGTTTTGACATGCCCCCTTTTCATTGCAATAAAGGCTACCCCCAATTTTCTTTTCATTTTTTATAAGAGGAATGAAAATTGCATGATATATGTGAAAAATAAAGAATTTCATCATGTATTTTTTTTTAATTTGTAAATTTCTTTGTTTTTTGAAGAGTTTTAGTATGTAATTGTGTATAAAACACGAAAAATGGTCCATATCTTGACAGTGCCCCCATTTCACTACAATAAAGGCAAGGTAACAAAATTTCATCCTAATTTTTCTAAGCATAAAACATACAAGTATATTTCCAAGAATTAAAAATTTTTATCATTCCGTTTTCGTAATTTTTAACTAGATCGGGCCTCGTTAAAACGCTAAGTAAAAGTCAAACCAATATAGTTAAAAAATTTCATCTCGAAAAAGGGAGCGCGGTTCCGGTTTTACTATTCGTAAATGACGGAGTGCGAGTATAGACCTACTTTAAAATATCTTTCAAGTGAAATTTGAATCTGCAAAAAAATACGTTTTTTAAGACGGGAATTTAAGTCAGTCCCTTAGCCATGTGTAGTTTTTCACTAAAATTTTTTTTAGAAGTTGACAGACACGTTTGAGGGTAAAAAAAATAAAGACGTTATAAGACATAAATTATGCTTGCTTTCGTGCGCCAATATACACTTACATGTTTTCATTTTTTTCTCATATTTCTTTTTATTAACTGTAATATCATCAAGAAACTTGAAAGGCCTAATCATAAAATATTACTTTTTGCTATGACAAATGAAGAAATCTAATATAGCAAAGAGAAACTAAACTGTTTTCCCTGTCTACGACTTTTTGGGACAACCCTTGTATATACGTATTTATTACTATTTTTGAAGAAATGCAAAGATATTAACAATTCAAAGAACCACGAACGATAGTATTGTTCTCCCGCCTACCTCTAAGTCAATTTTCAAAAGTTAACATATTTGAATGATTTTCGAAGTTTTTATAGATATTTATATGAATTTTCATAAAACGTTTCGTATTTGGGATACCAAAGAGAGATAACTCTATAATTTTGGTTAGAAATCAACGGAAAACGGAAAATATTTTTAAAACATCTTTCCCCCCCGTGAAACAAAAATTCCTTTTCACAGGTAATATGGACTGTCATTTAACAAATTTATGCCAAAGCTTCTTGTGTTTCACGGGGGGGGGGAACATATGTTTATAGACAAAAAACGAAAAATATGCTGCCGATTTTTCACAAATTTTAAAGCTATTTACAACTAAATAATTGTATTTTATTTATTTATATATGCTTTTTTATTTACGTAAAACATAAGAAAAGATATGAGATACATTTTATGATATTTAAAACTATTTCAAAATATGGTGATGCTTGAAAGTTCGATTTCACCAGAAAATATCGCCTAACCCCCTTTTTTCAAGAGCTGGAATTAATGATAATTTACTATCTAGCGCTGGAAATAAAATTATTAATCAATTACCATAGACTTGATCTTTGTATTAAACAAAGATTTAATGGCTAAATTGCCATTAAAATTGAATTTAATGGGTGTAAAATGTAGGCGGGAATCAAGAGTTAGAGTTCGTAGTTCTTTGGTTTACCTAGTAATAAATGGATATCTTCATATTAATTTATTCATATTTTAGAATATATATGTGCCTCGTAATCTAGAATAAAATCTAAGTGAGGACTTTAGGTCAATGGCACTGACAACTTATCATGTAACTTCCTCCCTGTTAATCAGCAATTTATATTCACCTGTGTCCTGTAAACTCTTTATTTTCTTCAACTGCTGTTCCAGATTTTCATGATTCTTGTTTACATTATTCTTGATACTGGAGACAGATGTCTGAATCAAATTTACTTTCTGGCGATATTCTTCGACATTATCCAGACTCTTCTCTACAACTTCAACACGCTTTGTTAGTTTTTCTCCTCTTTTCTTTTCAAACTCTTCTAATGTTTCTACTTTCGTTTGTAATTCTTTATTTTTCAGTCTAACGATCGATAACTCTTCGTTTATTTCCTTGTAAATATCACTTAATCTCGCCTCAAAAACGTAAGCTGCTCCAAACACAAATGCTACAAGTAGTCCTGCGATACATTGTCTAATTGTATCCATTGCAAATCTAAAAATGTTTTCCTGACAGAACACTCTGTGGTCAATTATCACTCTACGTGTATACGGCTCCACACAAAGTGCTGAGTTTAAAACAACTGAACCATGCTCTGCAGTGCACCATTCAATGAACAAGGGTTAGTAGAATTTAAAGTCCATGAAAAAAATCTGGGTTGCTTAACATGCTATCTTGATATTGTCCCGTCATTACGATTACTTTATTTTGATCGTCAAATAAATGGTTACGGCTAATTTTAAGTGTAGCTGGGTTATTACACATATATTTTCTAAAAAATTGTGAATGATTCTTTCTTGAAAAAAAAAACTGTTATTCCCCTCAACATTTCTTCAAAGTCACCCTTTCAAAGGACAAAAATGTATCTTTTAAATTCGCAGCCCCCTCTTTCCCAATTAATTTTGCATGTACCCGTACTAAGCCATTTTGCACATACATATGCCAGTCCTTTAAAACAAAACCTCGGACCTACCCATGTTTTGAATTTGGTAATTGGCACTATGTAACCTTCTCAAGTATAAATCCAATATATTTTCCCTAATCTGAAAAAAAATGTCCCCGGGAACAACAGATACTACCGGGTGGTTTAATATATATTTGTTATATCCCTATTAAACTGAAAAAGACGGAAAATATATGAAATATAATTATTTACTAATATTGATCAATTTTTATGACATTTTAAATTTGATGGAATGGAGCTTCAATGTATGTTAAAGCAATTTTCCAAAAAATCCTTTTAAACAAAACCTCGGAGCTATCCCTGTCTTGAATTTGATAATTGGCACTATGTAACCTTCTCAGTCCGACTATTAGACATTCATTATTATATACTCATAAAAATAGTGATTAAATGATTTATAGTTCACATGCATGCATTGATTATAAATTACAGGGATTCCCGGTGGTGATTTTTTCTTTTCAAACTCTTCTAACGTGTTTACTTTCGTTTGTCATTCTTTATTTTTCAGTCTAATGATCTATAACTCTTCTTCACGTTTCTTTACTTCCTTGTTAATCTCACTTAAAATTAATCTCGACTCAAAAACGTAAGCTGTTCCAAACACAAATGCTATATGTAAACCTGCAATGCATTATATAATTGGATCCATTGCAATGGTGAAAATGTTTTCCTGACAGAAAACTGTGTGAATAATTATCGATCTATATGTATATGGCTTCACACATATTTACTGTACCGTGCTCTGCAGTGCACCATTTAATGTGAATTCAAAGTCCATGAAATATCAAAGTATGAAAGTTCTGAAAAGCGGTTAGCCTGTTTCAATCGAATATGTACAACAACAAAAATGCATTGAATAATGATATTAAAGTAAGCATGCATATCTTTGTCCAATGTCATCAGAGAAGAAGCAGACATTCTGAATTTGGTAGTACTTAACAAAATAGTAAAACCAATAACATCCCAGTCTGATGTCACAGATGCATGTTTCAAAATATCAAAATGAGATTTTTAGTTTGAAAGACAGGAAGCTCAGTTTAAAAAAAAAAATCTTTGTAATTGTCTCCCTCGGTGGAGTCCAAAAGTGTTCAGGACGAAAAAAAATGGTGATGTTGCAAATTTTATTGTCTTTCATGCTCTGTTCATTCTGAAATTAGGAAACTGTAAAGACTACTATAGCAAACACCTAAAAAAAATGATAATTCAAATTCTTCAATTTATATGATTTGTAGTACTGTAAATATATGTTTAGCTGGTTAGTCTTAGAAAAAACGGATGTATTAGCAGAGAAGGTGTAAATTAATTAATTTCAGAGAGCTTCAGTTTTGTAGGCTCACTACGGGTCCGCAGGTTCGACCTGTCATTGGGGATGCTTACTTCTCCTAGGCACCGGAAATTTCAAGGGTCTTTTTTCCTTTTGAAACCGATCACTGTTCCTTCTGTATTTTGATACACAAACCGAGTACTTCATTTCTTTATTTCTAATTTCTATGACAACAACCCGCTACAAATCGCAGCTCCGGATGGCTACCTGGGTATTGTTAGGGTAGGTTTCATATAGGACACTCTACTCCTTATGATACCAAAGTTGTCAGGAAACATGTTGATCGATAACTCTTCGTCACGTTTCTTTATTTCCTTGTAAATATCACTTAGTCTCGCCTCAAAAACGTAAGCTGCTCCAAAATACAAATGCTACAAGTAGTCCAGCGATAAATTGTTTAGCCATTGTGAACGTTTCCCTGCCAGAACACTGTGTGTTTGATAATCACTCTTCATGTACATATGACTCCACACACAGTTCTGAGTTTAAAACAACAGAACAATGCTCTGTAGTGCACCTTTCAACGAAAAATTTAAAGTCCATGAAAAAAAATCTGGTTTGCTCAACATGCTATCTTGAATGATATTACCCCGTCACTGCCATTACTTTATTTTGATCGTCAAATAAATAGTTAAGGCCAAGTGTACCTGGGTTATTACACATATATTTTCTAAAAAATGGTGAATGTTACTTTCTTGGAAGAAAACTTTTTTCCCTCAACATTTCCTCAGTCAAATTTATAAAGGACAAATTAAATAATGAATCTTTTAAATTCGCAGACCTTTCCCAATTAATTTTGCATGTACCCGTGCTAAGAATTTTTGCAGATATACGATATGCAGGTATGATAAGAAATGATTATAACATGAAAAAAAAAAACAGTAGATAGGACTATTTATTTCTTTTGGTTTGGCTGCCCATTACATTAACTTTAAAATTGTACGTAAAACACAGTTACGAAGTTGAAAAGTTTTTTTAATCATTAAAGGAAATGTTTCGGATGCCCTTGGCGGTTGAAATTGTTCCACTGACCAATATTCTTTCTTTTAGTTTTACCGGAGACGGATGGAATTGATCAAATTATCAAGATTCAACTATGAAAAAGAGGTTTCAAATGATGATAGTGAGAATATTTATTATTTATATGCTTCAAAATAAAAATACAGTTTAACAACTTTATAATACTTTATAACATCAAAACTTCATCGAAAAGGAACATCTGTTCAGCGTAATTATCTAAAATCAGCAACATCGTAAAAACATCGCCCAAGGTTAGGGATGATTACATGTAACATCCATAAAGATAATTATTTGAAAACAGGTGGTGGTACTGACATTGTTTGGACAGGAAAACAAACCATAGTCTTTTACAGAAGGCTGAAAACAAATATGGGGTGGTTTCTGTGCTGCTTGCTGACTCTGAATCTATCATTTGTGACTTGTTATTTGGGTATTACTTATAATTTAAAAGGTATGTGATGATTCTACCATTTGTTTTGGGTGTTTAATTTCTTAAAACTTGTTTTGTTTTAATGCTTTCTTTCATTGAAAAAAAGAAATATTTTCATTCAATGAATGATTTTATATATTAATTCATTTTAAACACTATTTTGTAAAATATGACTGTATTTGTATAGATGTTAATATATATATATCAGGTGAATATTACCAATAAACTAAGATAAAATAATTATCATTTGTTGTCAAATTGCTTTGGTCACATTCCTTTAAAATGCTAGAGAGATATGATTTCCTTTAAGAATTTTCTAAATAATTATTTATTACTTCATAAAAAGTTCATGCAAACATATTTTTTTCTATGTTAAAACAAAATATATCATTTCAAGACTTAAGATCTTAATTATCTAAATTATTTTTTTTTTTTTTTTTTTAAAAAAATAATGATTTATATCAAAAATTTATTATTCAATCGAATAAGATACCTGCTTATTTGACTGCAATAAAAAAAAAAAAACAGAAATGAGATGTATTTTTTTAACCTTCTTGTGCCAGTAGGGTAACATTGTAGGTAGAAGAATTAAACTTTTAAAATGTAGTAAAAACTTTAAAACCAATGACAGAAGATAAAAAAAATCAAAAATATTTTTTTTGAAAATGAACAACCAGACGAAAGAACGGAGGACAGGGTAAAATAACAAAAATCACAGAAATTTTTGAACACAAAAACATAAAGATATCGAATTATATCTATATTGAGAAGTTTTGTTGGGAAGACTTTTATTGGAAAGCATGCACTCATTTCCCTGACACATATACACAATACCATGTACTGAAACTGTTGGAATATGAGGCCTATTTTACTTTTCTAAATGCGATTTTACAGATTGTGTGGACATTCCGCCTGTCAGATTCTGTGGAACGGCCGCCAGGGTTAGACCCCCTATTGTTTTATACTTCTATGACAACAATCGTGGTCTGTGTGAGCCCTTTCTATGGTCCGACTGCCCTAACGCTCACTCCAAAAACGTGTTCCAAAGCAAGAGTGAGTGTGATACTATTTGCAAGGATCCACTAAGTGTCATTGATATTAGTCAAGAGCCATTATAAATTAATCATGTTGATTCAGTATAAATAAATAGTTATTTTAGCAAAAATTTAATAGTATTCTATTTTTATTATTCTTCATATAAAGTGTGGTTTGGTTTTATTCAAAATAAATATGACAGCCTGTGAGAAAGGCTTTATCTTTTTTTAATGTGGGTCATTTCCAAGGTCAAATAATCAAATTTATTGATACACAAAGGAAGGTCTTGTCGCGGGAAACACGTGAAAAATCAAAGCCTAACACTAATTCAAGTAATGGGTATGGGTAAAGTTTGAGAACAAAAAGGTAACTAGCTAATCAGACTCCATGTAACAGACTGACAAAGGGACAGACCAAACACAATATCAAAGATAATCTATCATAAATGAATTATAAAATTGTTATTTTATTTTTTCTGTACCCATTATTATCAATATTACAATTTAACATTTTTTGAGTAAATTGAAACCAGAAATGACCTATTATATAAAAGCAAAACGACTTGATTATCAATTAACGGAAATTAAATTCATTTATTCTATTACAAGTCAACTTAATAAAATGTCCATTTGATTCTACCTTTTAAAGGTGCTCAAAATGTAGACAACCTGTCCATTGACAAAATATCTGTTGTGTTTCTAGCACACTGAATACTTTTCCGTTCATGCTTCAGATTTTTTTATGTTTCTCGATTTTTTTTTTTAAACTTTCATTGGTTTGAGAAAAAATAACATTTTATTGCTATTTTTAAAAAAAAAAAAACATGTCATTTTTAATGACTTTTGCAGTGAAATTCGATATTTTGCGGGTTAAAATTCACAGAGAGTAAATGCATGTGCTTTTCAATAACCTGAGTATAATTATTTCTTTTTTTTCCTGGTATAAAAATTGCAAAGGTACCTCTTGTCTTATTCTTAAAGCGTATGCAACAACTTTGCAATTACTATTATAGTGAAAAGGGTAAAAAAAAAAAAAAAAAAAAAAAAAAAAAAAAAGAATTTTCATACTGTGAAAAGGAAATATTTTCCTAGGAAGAAGGAATTTTTATTTTAGAAAGGATAAAGAAATTTATTCATGGGAAGCCGATGTGTTTTTAGTACGGCTATGAAGAAGTAATTTTCATACGGGGAAGGAGAAGAAAATTATACTGGGAAAGACGTATTGGAAATAAAAGACTGAACAACAACATTTCTCCCTGGCAAACTTAATCTAATAGCTTTGTCAATAAGAATATACCAGAAAAAAACTAACAATGTTACAATGTTACAAACTTACATTTCTTTGCCATGAAGAAAAGGATACATTTCACATTGAATTTTTCAAATCTTTGTTAAGCATAACAGGATATTTTTTCTGTATAATAAAAAGTGTTACTATATGATTGCGCCCATGGGAAAAGGGCCCTTATGGCAATTTTTATGCATTTTGACTTTTTCACGGATTTTTATAGAGTAAGGTTAGAAGTTGTCAAATATGAAATTTTATGGTCCTGTCTCTACTCTAAGTAGGTTTTTTCTTCATTTTTATCAAAGATACTTTAAGAGGTTCATAATGACGTCATGTTTTTCAACAACGTCAAACGTTTTCAGAGTGAACGTAAAATGATTTTCTTCTGTAATTTTACTTTGGTAATTCATAGTTGTGTAATACTTATATTTACCCATTCACATTATCTTTATCTCATTATCTCTTTTAATAATTAATAATTATTCAATAGCTATATATATATTATCGATTCATTAGTGGTGTATAGTATTATGAGTGAGTGTTTTACATCACACTTTTCTATGACACCAGGGGGAGATCTGAACAGCGGGCGACATCCATTCAGTTTTTTTTTTAAACAATTATTTTCTCAAACAAAATATTTACATCTAGTAATCCATGCAAGACTCATTTGATAAGCCTGTAGAATTCATTAGAAAATTATTTTAATTTAAAACATTGTTCTCGATAGGAAGAGCATAAAACGATTTGTCTTAAGTTACAATATATGTGAAAAATTAATTTAAAAAAAATATATCTAGAGCAACAAAACGCTACCTAAATGAAGTGAAAATTTATTAGATTGTTATTTTTTTCTAAATGTCATATAAAGACAAAAAAATTGTGAAGCGTGGTAACATGTTATTACGATACTAGTATATGCTGTAGACAGTAAATAAAACGGAAATTCGGTTAATTCACTGCATTTTTAAGGTTGTCTGTTTGCAAAGGGCAAAAAATGACACTGCTGTTTGAAAAATATAAAGGATACACGAAATATTTTTTAGTCTTACAGTAAAAATATTTTGATATTTAAGGAATAACTGTCTTACTTTTCGAATTCATGAAGTGATCAATGGATTGGCGTGTGTGATAATTTGCATAAACGCCGAAGGCGTTTATGCATAAAATTATCACACAAGCCAATCCATTGATCATCTTCATGAATTCGAAAAATCTGACAGTTATTCCTTATATTTACATGCTTTGATTCCGCCAATCCACAGGCTCCAAGCCTGCTTCTCTCTAGGTGTTGTCCCGCCCTGCACGTGGTTTTTTTTGGAACCGCGCCAAGACATTCATGAGGAAATAAATTACATTTACAATTGGTAATTTTATCTCGGACAAAGACATTGGAAATGTAAATATTTACCGATCAAAAAGATGAAAAATTTTATAAACAAAGAAAAATTATAAGTTTATAACCCGCACACATTTACACAATAGATAGACCCAGGATTAACATTGGTTGGATTATGTGTGTGTTGGTGAGGGGGGGGGGGGGGGTTAAAATCTTAATGGCAGAAACTTAGAATTCTTGTGAACACGATCCAGTTAAAATAAATAAATATTTTTTGTTACTTCCAAAGTTTTAGGTGCAAGGGCAGGGTGTCTCTCCTACACCCAGTACCATTAACCCTCAACATGTAATTTCACTTTTTATTTAGGTTTGAAATAATACTGTATAATATTCTTCATTTTCTATTTGCACCTTTGTTTCTGAGCATTGCCATTTTCAAAATCGCACAGCGACCATGAGCACTATGAGCCTGGAACCGAATTGTTATAAATTCAGTCTTGTTAATCATGTATATAATGACACCTTAGAATAACAGAATCTGGTTTTATTTTATGAAATGGACGGTTTTAGAAGCATACCAATAGAATAAAATTAAAGATGACATTTACAAAAATTTATTAAGAATTTCGAACAAAGTGGTTCATCGATATTTTCCTCATTAATTTATTTAAAAAAAAAACATCCAGTAGACAAATCAATATACAGTGGAGCCTCATTTATCCGGACGCTTTGGTTCCCAGTCAATTTGTTCGGATATGTGAAGCGTCCGGATACCTGAATTACCAATTAAACAAGACAAAATTACATTTACAAATTTCGTTCCAATGAAAAGTCGTCCAGATACCGAAGCATCCGTATATCTGGGGCCTGGATATCTGAAGGTCCACTGAAAATGAATCATGCAGTTTAATGTATAGATTTTGTTGAGGTAGGTGTGGGTTAAAAATAATAACATATACCGGTAATTGTTCATGCCTAAATATACAGTCAGTTAAATATGACTGTTTTGTATAATATATTTCCTGACAATTGTATCTGAACTGGCTGAGTTTTGAAATGTCAGATTTTTGTAGGGATGTAAGCATCTTAGAAAATTCATCATATTTTTTTATGACTGAATTGTAAAAAATTACCTTCATTCTAATGATTTTGTTTTCTAAATTTTATGTTATGAACTGAGTTTTACAGAGTATGAATTCCTTTCTGGTCCCATGCCAGAAGCTTGGATATGCTAAGCCTTGTAAAGCCTTACATGTTACGGAAATATAAACGGACAACCCCACCCGCATTCCCTGCACTGTGGCCAAAATAAAACAAAATGCAAGCATATTGTTGCGGTTTTATGTCGTGTATTAAAATCATCTAATTTTTTTCTGTCAGCATTTACATGTAATAATAAAACCCGATCCTGAACTTAAAAGGATATTTTTATCAATCAAACAAATAAAATCATAACATGTGTATATATGTAACAATATTTATCCGTAATTTGATAAGAGGTTAAACAATATATTCCACACTGTTAACAGCAATGAGTTGAGTCCAGTGATGAATTGGGTTTTTAGCATGATAATTGATCTGTTAAAGACATTCAATGCTGATCGAGCTTTTGTGAAAGACAAAGTTCTTTGTGGCTTTAGGGGTTAATTTGCAGAAAATGCTTAAAACATTTGAACTCTTTGTAAAAAAAAAACAAAAAAAAAACAAGTAAGTACCAAAGAGTTACATGTATTTCAAATTTGGAGATCTTGAAAATATATAGCCATACATGTAGTTTAGAGAACTATATAGACTATATAGAACTACATAGATTCAATAAAAATATTTTTATCCACCCTACATCCTCCCTCTCTTTCTCGCCATCTCTCTCTCATCAGATTAACTTGACCATGCAGCTCTATTTAAGTTGGAACATTTTTTTTTTTATTCGGATGTTTTTGCTTGTTTTAATTTCTCTAAATTGAAGTGTCGTTTGTGCAACAAGAATATAAGACAAAACAACATTTTTAAAGTTTTATTTTTTTAATCATTATTCATGATACGGTAGATACTTTGCATGTATATTATTAAAAAAAAAATGAAATTCGTTATTAAATTATTTCATGCAAAAAAAAGCTATAGATAAGAGATTTGGGGAAAAAAAATTTAAAAGTCCAGTCTGTTCAATTTTACAGTTTTCCTTTTTTCTTTGTTTTTCCTTGTCTACATTAACAGGACCTAATTGTTCCCAAAGTACAACAATATTTTATCTATTTAAAATAAAAAAAAATTATGCCGACAACTGAAAGTGTTTTTATTTGGTAATAAAAGATCTCTTTTATAATCCAGGAGCTAACTCGCTGAAATGTTAAAAGTCCCTCTCTGGTACCCCTTTTACATCGATTGTTGACATTAGAGTTATCTCTCCTATTTTTTTTTTATTTATAGAAAATACAAATATCTTGACTGTTGTTCTAACAAATTTTGCTAGATTTGAAACAATGTGGAAGATGTATGTTTAGTTTCAACATTAGTATAAACAATTTAGCAAAAAATTTAAGCAGTATGCACCGATGAATCAATGTTTACATGTGATCGGCGCGATCGCAATGTATATTGAGAGTGGAGGAGCGGATCTCAAAAAAGGAAGGCAATTTTCCTTTGCAATATTTTAACAATATACCCCTGTCTAACATGTATCCTAAATCTGGTATAAATATGTAAATAAAATTTATTTTTCTAGAGTACACAGGTTTATTATCCTATCAGATAAACACCTTGTTAAAAGCTTCTATACATGTACATGGTGCATGATGTCGGAAAACTGTATTGGTATCAGAGACGTATAATAGATATGTTTGTTAAGAATTCAAACCAGTTCTAAATGTTTTTATTTATATCTATTAAAATCAGTGGATTGAAAGATTCAGACATTAATTTATAAATCAAAATAAATTCCACATGTTGGAAACTCTGGATGCGTCAAACGTCAAAACACGTGGTTAAGGTCAAGATCTAGTAAATGAAAGGTGCCTACAGATTTATCAAACTTGAAAAATAAATTCCTTTATTGATGCTTTACAACTTTAGCTTGGTCAAATAAGGTGTTTCGGGGCATAATTTGTAGGTAAACAAGATGAAAAACTGTATTTTAAATTGTCATTTTCAATGAAAAATTAAGAAAACCTGACATAAATATTGGAGTTTTTTTAGTATTCGGCAAAGGAAATGTATCCAGATTGCCTACAGTCTCTCAGAAAACTGTTATTAGTATGTTCATGGCCTCTTCTTTAAATCAATATCAAATTTGATATAGGTATCCGGTTTACTTTTCATATGATTTCAAATTGAATGACATGAAAATACCCTATTTTCTACATAATTCTGCTAAAGCCGTAAAGTACGGGAAAAAGAAAGTTGAAATTGATTATGACGTCATAATGGATCTAGCACCAAAAAATTAGTCTCAAGTTATTTACTAGATCTTGACCTTAAAATAAAATCTGCGTCGAAGTTCACCGTCTGCAACGTCATATCTTTGTGACGTTATTTCTCTGTTTTAGCAAAAATGCCATAAGGCCCTTTTGTCATGGGCGCAATCATATCGAAAAAAGATATTTCATTGAAAATGGGAGGGAAACAAAACATTTCAAAACATGTGTGTATTTCAATTTTTTTCTCTACAAGTTTTTGTTCAATCAACTTTTACAAATACCTAACAATCAAACATTTTACTCGCCATATGTGTTAGCATTGCCCAGACCTTTAATTAATTTGTCATTTAATGACTCAGACAGATTCGCCGCTAAAAATAGACACAATATTTGTGTATGCTGCATATTGATTTTTTTTAAATACCCATCTGTTTATTGCTCAACTCAGGAACGGGAAATCCCCATTCTCGTATTTTTCAGTTCAGTACGTACACATGGTGCATGCATGGCTGTGTGCTGGATTTTAAATTCAACGAAACTGTATTTCACTTCCTTATTCCGTAATGATCGATTGATACCATGGACACCATTGTTGTTTGTGTATTCATTCCAAAAGCATAAAACGCTGTTACATTCATCGATTCGATTGAACGTCCTTTATCCATAACTGGGTTTTAAATGCCTTGGCTTGAAACCCTTTATATTTATAGTTTTCCAGTCTGCGCAGGTCCGATATGTGCGATACGAGTGTTGTTTATTTATATCCGATACACATGGAATCTGATCTCGGGGAATAAAAACAGGAAGACTAGACTCCTATTTATCTACGATGTGAGGAATAAAACAAAATGAAGGTGGGTTAGGACTTCTTTTGTACAAACTCTGATCCTGATTACATTTCTGTTGTTTTTTTCTGTCTCTATCTACTTCCTGGTATACATACAGGTAGCTGTATGTATTTTTCCATGTGTTTGTGTGTCTACATACTTACAGGTTATGCCTGTGAAATGCGAAATGATGCACTCGCGGATTTAGAGGGGGGGGGGGGGGGGCTAGCCCCCCCCCCCCCTTTCGTGTCCCCCAAAATACACAATATTTAATAAATCAATATTTTTTGGGCCCCCTACCCTGACCTCAAACTGGTCGCCCCCCACCCCACCTTTTGAATATTTCTGGATCCGCCACTGTGATGTGTGTATGTTTGTTTATTCATAATTATATCTTAAATTCAAAAATATAAAATTTTAAAAATAATATTTACATGTCATTGTTTCAAAAAATAAATATAATTCAAACAAAGGGGTTAAATCATCAGACATAGAAATGGATCATAATACATGTACAAGTAAGAAAATGCCAAATTGCCTTTTCCAATACAAAAATAATTTTAAAATATTGTATGCCGAGTCCTTCGCCCAACAACAGCAGGTAGTTTATTTTTCATTGAATTGAAAGTCTGCACTTAAATAGTGATAACTTTATGTGTTTTTGTTCCGAAAGAAATCAAATAATGCAAAAGACAAAGTTTTGTATGACCAGCATTGAATGGATCAATATTTCATGTTTTTGGTTTTTCCTGCATTGATTTGCCTTTTGAATTGACTCGACTGTTTTTTAAAGTGCAATCGATATGATGCAAACGTTATGTATTGCTGGCAAGTATTCAATTATTGGTTTATGTCCTTGAATACATTTCGATTATTGAATTTTGAAGGTAAAAACATTGAATGTTGATTTATTTTTGTTTTTTTTTTACTGTTTTAATGATCATAAGTTGTTTATTGATTCAATTTTACCTCTCTCATTTTTAAATATTAATTGAAACCTGAAACATTTGTAATTATATCTTACTTTTATCATTTTGCAGCAGATCAAGTTTTCTTTCCTGTCAATATTTTCCGTCTTCATTTTAAATTCAGAGATTCATGTAGGTATGTATATTTAAATTCCTATTTTTATTCAGCGAAAAAAAATTAATAAAATTGACTGACTCTTTTATTCAAACTTCTTGATATCATTAATCTTATTAGATTTTAATTTATTCATGGAGAAAGCAATTGTTTTTGGAAATAACACATCAAAATGGAGATGACAAAATGGTCCAATGCACAAAATATCCATAATTCCTAGATCTCATTCATTATCTTTTTGTCTATGTTCTAGTTCAAACTTTCAAACAAAATTATTTTCATTGATAGAATCAACCTATTACTGCGGTGGTGTGACTGGTAAGTTTGTAATTGTATTGTCTTTTTTCTATATAATTAGCGGAGTGTCTTATCTGAATACAATTTTACAGGAAATTTGACATGTTGAAATAAAAAAGCTATATATAACTTCTTTGACTTTTTGCTAATTTACGAAAGACAATGCTTTAAAAGAAATAAAGTGAAAAGCTCATAGTACTCTTTTTATTTGGTCGGATTCGGAGGTTAAGTGAGGCCTGGTGCCCGGGTGGGGGGGGGGGGGGGGGGTGATACATTCATAACCATGTCATGGTGATTTAGGAAAATGAAGAGGTTAGTCTAAACAGGGTAGGAAACTCGTTAAAAACCTTAATATGTTCATTAATCCAGGTATTTACAATCTGTTGAATAAAAGGTATGTTCAATAGTCGTTCTATAAGTAAACGACGAAGTGGTTGTTAAAACATGAAATACGTTTTACAGCAATCTAACTTAATATTATTCCTACATTTAATCTAAAGTCAACACAATACCCATGGAGTCTTAGTGTGCCTAACATTTTGTGTTGATAAAAAGTATTTAACTCCCACTTAATTATTTTGAATTTCATCTTGTATGTTTTGATTTTAATTATTCAGCACCACTAAATATTAATTACAGAATAGAATAAATTCTCCCTAATACATGTACATGTAATAACTCGACAATAAAAAAGATACATGCAGTATGATTCACTTTGAAATTCTATACATTTCAATGTCCTAGTTATAAGAAAGCAGAATATATGTATCTGAATAAACTTATTCAATAATAAAGAATAATTATAAAAAAATACAAATACCTTGTCAATATTTTTTAACAGATCCCTGTACGGCAGCCGGGGAGCTTTTTGAGCCGTATGCACGAACCCAGAACTGTCCGTATGACGGGACACAATCTCATGTCCCATGTGATCGATACAAGACGCCGGGATGGTACAAGTCAGACGAACCTATACTAGATCAGTGTCCCACCCTCAGCAGCTGTGGAACTATTTATCCTGTCTGGTATAATGGTACATTATCGTTTTTAAATTAATTTTTGATCAAATCGTTTTATTATGTATAGCTAGCTTTGGGCATTTACTTATCCTATACAATTATTTTTGCTGAACTAATCTTAAAGTCATACTGTATACTAAACAAATTTAGTAATATTCTTTTTCTTCAGAATGCATGTAAGTGCTAGATTTGGGTTAGATTACATATCAAACTCTAATCTAAATATAAGGCGACTTTTCATTCCAGGAACCTTGCCACAAGTAGCTGATGGTGTTGTTTCCAGGAAACTCTGTAAAACCGGATTCTCTAGTTGCTGTGTTAAAGAGTACGATGTTCAGATCAAGAACTGCGGCACCCACCACGTGTACTGTCTACCAGCATTAGACGCCTGTCCTGAAAGATTCTGTTTCGGTACAGCAGGATTAAATTTCTAATTAAGTCTTAATAACAATTTTGTTTAGAAATATCCACACAACGAGACAATTATTCCATATTATTGATGCCGATTTCCACCTCTGGATTTCGAGAGTTAAAAAGTTTTAAAGTATTAACGTTTCAGGGAGGGAGCTAAATAAGGCATTGCCTGCCTAATCTCATCCACTTTTATTTGAGAATAAAATATGTATCAAAGAATAAAAAAAATAAAAGTTTTCCAGGCATTATGGTTCATAAATTTAGTTGCATATCTACAGGAACAAACGGATCATGTGAATATCCGACAACAACATCTACGACAACATCTACGACAACACCAACAACAACATCAACAACAACAACAACATCAACAACAACAACGACAACACAAATATCAACAGAGGAAAATGATCAACGCAAAAAATATAAGGGTAAATTTACATTCAATTTTATTTAAGAATAATTTTTATTAAGGATTAATATACTAAAATCTCTATATTTGTTTTCGCTAACCAAAGATGCTTTGTCATTTATTTTTGAGAAAACAAATTTAAAAGATTGGATCATTGCAGCTTATAACAAACATGTAATTGGTTTTTGCAGTACTTAAAAAAATGAAAATAAATTGATTCCTTATTTTTTTCTTTTTTAATTGAATAGTTTACAACTTTAATGCTTAATATTGTCATTCTGTTAACTACAGTGTCTTTTGTGAAACTTGTTTCTAGTCTATGTAGTCATCTAGGATAAAACCTCACTGTTATAGGATCACACACCTTGTATTACCGGAAAAAATTCTTGAATGTTAATGCATGTATGTATTCTTTATATGTATCATGATAAATCACTCCCAATAAATATCCTTCCTTTACAGATTTAGAGAGAAGATACACGGTGGTAATAGTTGTAGTAATTGTTCTCATTTGTTGTCTTATTGGTCTCGCCAGCACCATCACGGTTATATATATTCGGTAAGTACCTATAATAGTGACGAAAACATATTTTCTTCATAATAATAATAATCTGTAAAATACACGAACTAGCATCATTCTTTATTTTAAAATGTTTACGATATTTTTCTTGTGTGTTTGTGTGTGTACATGTATATTTATGTCCGTACAAAACTTAATGTTATGTATCAATATGCTATTTATTATGGGAAATTGAAATCGTCACAGGTTTCTTATCAATCCCTCCATAATCGCAGATGCTTATAATCTGAGCACACTTTAGCATGAATGACATATTATAGAATTCATTTTTCTACAGAACTGATATCTACTTCCTTTTAATTTGGCTGTCCGAAGCTCACAGACGTTTTGTTTATTTCTTTATTGACACACTCTGTTCCCAAATAACAATGACCTCAACGATGCTCAATATCTGATGTACAGGTGACTATCGAGAGCTCGAACTCCGATCTCTAAAACTTCTCGATCTCTTGAAGTGATTCTGGTAGTTGTACTGGACTCTATCTTACCTTGTTTTCTTATTAGGATCCAATGTCTATAAAATATAAAAGAAAACATTCATCTTTTTTTTGTAAATACAGTACAGAAAAGATTTTTTTTATTCTAGACAATATTTCTTGGGAAAGGATAAATGGAACAGTTGAAAGTTGATATTTTACTTTTTAAAGGCCTAATATTTTTTCAGAGACAGTACGTTATATGACATATCAAATGTTTTATTCTTAACTGTGGTTTAAATATTCATTACATATATAGATTTTGCTCAAAATAAACATGCCCATGATTAATCTTGAACTACTCATGGCCCTAATTTATTATAGCCTCACGAATTGTGAGCCATGTGTATACATATGTATTGAGAGCTTGTCTCATGTTGGCATATTTTGGTCTTTATAATTATGTATTAAGAAAATTACCAATTGCCTATTCTATTACCATTATAACTTATTGTTCTTTAAGTTGAGCTTTGGCAACCGAATAGAGGACATTTTTATTTTTCGATGTTAATATAAATAGAAAACATAGAAGAGTTAAAAAAAATGACATTTTAGATGAACTGAACTTAGTTTAATGTTTACCTTCATAAGATAAATGACTGTTGATGCTTTAATTATTACAGGAAAAGAATGAGAGAAAGGGAAATTAGTCAAAGCAGAGTGGAACTTGTACCGGAGGAGTACAGACATGATACAGTGCAGGGTGTAACAGGAGGAAGCAATGGCGTGCCCCCTCATCTGCATTTCCAAATATGATAGAAACACCAAAGAACTCATTATTTCCAAATTTTGATATATTTTTGTTATCTAAAGAGATTGAAGAATTGCAGGGACCATGTTCTTGTATATATACTGTAATATTTATATATATATATATATATATATATATATATATGTTTTGTTATATCTACAGCTATGAAAAATGAACCGTTGATTACTGCAATTTATAGTAAGCTGATTTTATTTATAGAAGGAAACATTTTTGTACATATATATTTAATTAACCATATGCAGATGCAGATTCACCATTTTTTACATAGATTTTATCATATATTTATTGTTTTTCACAACAAGATAGCTCATTATCTAATTTCTGCACCTTGCTATAACAACGGCTTTTTCATAACACATTACTCATACTGGGACGAAAAAAATACATGTCACAACATTAACTGCTTTACATGTAGAAAGACGTCGCACAACCGTGTAATTTACAAAAGTTATTGATAGACAAATGTAGTACATAATTTTGTAAAAATCTTTTCATTGTATGATTTAGAAATTATAAAAAAAAAATCCATTATAAGCAACATTATGACTAACTTAAGTTTCTTTACAGTTTGTATTTTACAAGTAGTAGGACTGTATTTAAGGAAAAACTGTCTAGTTAATGTAGTATGCCATGGCATCAACGATAGTGGGAAACATAAATTATCCAATGTTTCCCACTATCGTTGATGTCCCTGGCATACTTTACTAACTAGACAGTGATTCCTTATATTTCCATTTTATTGTGAAATAAAATTGTAGATTTTGACTTTAAAATTGTAGACTGATCGATTTAAATTACACGAGGACTCTCATGCCAATTTCAATAGTCCTCGCCCACTGACGTCAAACACAAAGGCAACAGCACGAGATTTACATGCATATTTGGCCTCCTTAGCATCAGACACAGAGACAGAAGCGCACATGATTTGCATGCATATTGGGCCTCCTTAGCTCTTGACATATCGACCTCCTTAATTTACATTCCGGCAGAACTATCAAAAAATAAACTCCCCTAACTTTCAAAGAGTTATCACAGAGAAAAAAAATAGAAATGGAAATATAACTTGATAAATGAGATTGACCTATTCATTTTGTTTTAGAATAAGTTGCAAAAACTTAAAATATTTTATCTTTATTGCAGTAGAATATATATTTTGTGCGTTAATGTTCTTGGATAATTTAGCATGTTCTAAGGCTCTCTGGTAATCTGATAAGATAATTCAAACTACTTACTGCAAAACATTTTCTCTCTTTTGCTCTCTCGCTCTCTCTCTCTCTCTCTCTCTCTCTCTCTCTAACACACACACACACACACCCACACACACACCCTCACACACACACACACACACTCATAAGGACATGTATATAGGGCTCTTGATCTAAAAATAAAATATGTTATGTTGATGAGTGCATCCATCCTTTGTTTTTATTATCAAGTACATATATTGAAATAAAATGTTATAAATTTCGTTAATATTATAAACTTTATTTTTTATAAATAATTTTTGTGCAAAAAATAACATATATTCTTTTCAGGAATTAAATCGGGTATTCGGAATATATGGTTGATTGTCCATCCTTTCTTAATCGTGATATTTCTTTTTAGAATTTTTCTAATATCTGACACATCCGAATATAATTATGACAATTATCTGCATATATGAAGACGATATTTAGATATTTAATAAGTCTCGGTACGTGATATGACAGTCACGTGAATTCAGCTGTTATTCCTGCACTATTGAGGTCAGTAGTGCAAAGGCAGAACCAAGTTATAATCAGAATTAAATTAAAGTTTTTAATTAAAAAAAAACTTATTGAAGTTTGTGAAAAATGCTGCGATCCTATAAAATCTTAATATGATCCTTTTGAGTGTAAGCCTTAACAACAGATCAATTTAGACAATGCAGACAAATTACTGTTTTTAAATCTTCCTCTCACTGCATGCAGACTAAATATGTCATGATGTAATGCAACGTAATGACGTCAGATCCACTGGTTTTTAGCGATCAGTGACTGGTTCATATTGTTGAGTTTAATCGAACAACACAGTAGAATATTTAAGTTAGTTTTAATGTATATTTATTATCTGCATGGTTTAAATAAAAGAATCATTTCATCTTGTGATATACCGTATAGCGGCTTATTTTAGCGGGATGCTAATTTTGGCTTATTTTGGCGTTTTGATGATAGTCCGCTAAAATTTTAATCGGTAAAATAGTTAGTACTCTTATTAGTGTCCATCTTCAGAGAGCTAAAAACCTGCTTCCGCTAAAATAAATTACGCCTAAATTATTGGCAAACCTTAGAGTAGACAAAACACCAAAATTTACACCCGCCAAGAAAACTCGCTATACGTTATTTAAGAATTTGTACATTTGCGTGATGTCATAGTTAACATTTTCCGTACAAATTAAGTTACACCACGCTTTTGAAATCCTATCTATGCTGCGCTCAGGCTAATTTTAACATACACATAAAACTGTTTGTTATCTCCATATGTTTCCATATAAGCTGTCCAGTCACAAGATACATATTTATCTTGATTTCATTTTTATAGAAGTGATTTTTGTAAAATAATGGAGAATAAGGGAACATCACAAAAGATAGAAAGACTAGCTCTCTGTCAGTCTGTCCGTCTGTCACAAAAACTTTAACCTTGCCCATAACTTTTGATTTAATGGAGCTATGACTTTCATATTTCACATGTGTATTCCTTGTGAAAAGTCCTTTCTTTGGGTACCACACAATTTGAGCTTTTCACCTTGGAGTTTGACCCACTTTTACACAAAAAAATTAAATTTTTACTTTGGCCAATACTTTTGAACGGTAGATAATAGAGCTTTTATATTTCACATTATTTTCTTTGTGGCAAGACCTTTCATGTAATTCTTGGGATGTCCTTTCAAGGGATATCAAGAACTTTTACCTTCTGACCTTGACCATGTAGTTTAGCCCATTTTTTTTTTAGAACAAATAACCTTGGCAATAACTTTTGAAGGGTTAGGGCTAGGGCTTTCATACTTCAAATATTAAATCCTTGTGACAATTCCTTTCATTGGATATCAAGCACTTACACCCTTTGACCTTCACCTTGGAGTTTGACCTACTTTCAAAAAACTTTAACCTTTGCCATAACTTTTGAATGGTAAGGGCAAGGCTTTTCATACTTGAAATAAGTAATCCTTGTGAGAAGACCTATCATTTGATACCAAGAACTTTAAATTTGAACCTTTCACCTTCACCTTGGAGTCTGACCTACTTTTTTATAATTTGCATTTAAGAAATTTTAATCTTTGCTTGTTGCCAGACGGGGTCATCAGTGTTTCACAAACGCATTTTGTTCCCTTTAACTTTTGATTGAGAAGAGATGGGGCTTTCATATGCCTTGGCCTTCACGATTGACCTTATTTATAAACATCAACTTTGGTGATAATTTCTAAATGACATATGATATGGCGTTCATATTTGACATCTCAGCCACAAAGACACCGAAAGTGGGGCACCATAATTCTTTGAATTTGCTTGTTGTTTTCCATTCCTGGTTAATGTTAGTGAAAAAATATCTTTTTTTTTTCGAAGGAAATAATTTATTTTGTAAATGCGGAAAAATCTATTGTTAACATGTATGGAGTAGATATTACCATCTTTTTCTTCATGGAATTTATCACGGTTTGTTACTTGGTAGTGGCTTTAAAACAGGAAAGAATTTGTATCATACAAAACTACTTGATAAATTGTTTTAAGTTCAGCTTTTATTCCATGAATTAAACACTCGTCTGACAACATTGAGTTTGTTTTTGCCAAATAACACAAGACATGTTTGTCCCAAGAATATGTCATTTATTATGAAATGAAAAAATATAATAAAATACATAAAAATGAAGAAAAAAAGACTGAAAGACAATGCAACCTTAAAACACCATTCCTGAGAATAGTTTTTTAACAATTATGCAATAACAATTGGTCTTGCAGTATGTGACTATTACATAACATACATAGTTTGGGAAAATAGGTGGCTTCCAAAATACAGCCAAAAAACGATATGCTTCAGGCATTTTCTTGTGCCACCCGCAATATAGTCAGAAAATTTATTATCATTGCTTTATTCAAAACAAACAAATGTAGATTCAATATAAAACATATTGACAATAGCAATGTGAAGGATGTGGCAGTGGTTAAGTGAGTAGTAACGAACTGATAGTTTACTTGCATGGATGATTTAAGGTAAGGTTTGCGTTAACAGGGAGATAACTCTTGCGAATCACCAAAGCGTTTGAAACAGGCGACTTTAAACCAGCGATGCTAAGCATCTCGGTAACGGAGTGTTGGTAAAATGGGTAGGCAAACCCGGGCCGGGGCAAATCAAAAGCCGGGGCAGATCGAGGTTTTTCAAATATCTCCGCTAAAACTCCACCAATTCATCTGAAATTTTCAGATTTTGTTTTTTGAAGGTTCTTTTGTATTCGCTAATAATATCATCACAATATACGCGATATTTCTGATTTTCTGGGCGATTGTTCATTTCCAGGTTGGTAAAATGGGTAGGCAAAATCAATACGACATTTTACGGTATTTTTGAATCACGACTAGTTAAGCCTTTACAATTATGGACTTTTCCAATAGTTTACACTCTATATTAACGAAATATAATTAGTTTTACATTATAAAAGCTTAAAATATGCAAAATATGCGCATTTTCAGAAAAACCGGGTCATTAAAACCGGATCCGATCACCCGGGGCAAACCCGAAAATTCCGAATTAATAAATGTTTGTATTGGAGGATGTTAGCTATCACTGTTGTGACATTGCCCAGCTCTAACCACATGGAGGTATCCTCATAAGAGCCTTTTTTATTTTTATTAATTAAAATAATCAGTTTGAAAAATGGGTTTTTGGAATGAATTTTTGATTTAATCTTAAAATTTAAATTGATTTAGCACTATTCTGAAATTAAATATTTACTCACGGAGCACTAAATTAAAGATTTTCTTGAGTCTTGATATTGATATAATATTTAAAAGTGAACTGTGCATTTTAATATGTACATTTTTTTGTGTTTTTTAAATTTTTAATTTTTTTTTTATTTTTTTTTTTATTTAAAACATACAAACTGTTCTTATCGTGGTCACCACGACGCCCTACCAGGGCCCAGTCTCAGTTTGTTTAAAACAGTCAAATAAGTAATTTAATATCACTTAATTATAAATAGCACTAGTCTTTTGACTGTAATGATTAAAAACAGGGAGAAGTTGGTGCATTACATTGGGGACAGTTGAAAAGGAAACTGTCACCTGGGTTTGAAACACCTGCACATTTCTGATGGAACCATTGCTGACAAGATGGAGTGTCGCAAGCAATCATATTGTCAAAGATGTTTGGCAGATTGCACCGTGCTGCACAGTCAAGTGGAATTGTGTGTACTTTGCCTTTTTTGGTGAGGCTCAGTCTTTTCTTTTGACTTGGGTTTCTTGGAAATGGTGTGAATTTCTTTCCTTCAATACATTTCACCAAATGACTTCTCATGTTATCGACATCATAGTTAATTGGCTGTTCACTGTTACCTGTGAAACAAAAATCTGTCAAATTGGCAATGGCATACACCCCACAATCCACTCCATTTTGCTGTTGTTTAACTTCTTCTACTGACACTTTGATAGTTTTTTTCCCATCGCCATATATTTTTCCAAGCTGGATTTGTGTCGACTGTGAAATATAATCTCTCTTTTTGTTACAGCTGTCTAATATCTTGATGGTTTCATCTCCCTCACGTTGAGTACTTGCAATCCAATGACTGTGGCCAGTGTGATGGATTTGTGCCACAGGAGATTTCATGGGTTTCATCTGAAGTTTGTACTCCCATTTATCCTCTTTAAGCATCGGTGCATATCCTGTATGCTGAAATCCTTGGATATTTGGAAATTGCTGCTGCAGGATTTCTTGCGAGAAATTGATGATGTCACTGCACAACATATAGTTATTCAGGATGTCATTTTTATGTTCTATCGTAAGCCTTTGTTTCCCATTTTCTGTCCATTTTCTTCTTTCATCGGCAGTTTCATGTTCGCGTATTTGAGCAACATCTTCCTCTATATGAATTTGTTCAGGTTCAACATCATCATCTGACAGGGGGTATTGTAGACACCAAATCCTCCTTTGGATTCTGCAGAATCTGAATAGCCTCCTTGCTTGGTAATTTGTTTGAGTTGTTGCCATATACAACAACCTTATGTGTGCTTTGCTCCATCCTACAATTAAAAAAAATAAATAAATTAGAAAAATCTACTAAAATTCAAATAAACAAAATGAAAAAGAATTTAATGCCAATATTCAATTAGATTACACATTATTTGATTCAAGAAAAATATTTAAAAATATTCATGAAATATATTTTCTTTTCTGTTTTTA